GTTGTTGTTGTTGTTGTTGGCAAATGGCGGCATGGCGCCATTACCTGTGGGGTGAGAAAGACAAGCGAGTCATTACGTCCCCACTCGCTGGTCCTTTCACACATTTCATCCTTCATAGACCTCCTTCACATTCGATGTTTTGACTCGGCACAACAGGAGAAGCGCGGGTGTGATGGATATATTTCTGATGGCTGAATTCCATTAAACTGCTTTTGTGCTTGCTGGCGCTGTCCACTTGTTATTGAATTACTTCACTTTAAAAACAGAACATTGTTGTGATGTACTTACTATGGCAAGTCAAAATGTCTGCTGTGAAAAAAAGGCCTATTGTGCCTCCTGTTGTCCAAACACATTAAGGATGTCAAGAGATGAAAAAAAAAATTTATATATATAGGGCACCATACTACCTTTGTCATATTTTCACTTCATTTAATCAGACCTGTTGAGTCAAAGAGTTATTGTATGTATGCAAACAAACGTTTACTAGATTGAAAGAATTTTTATGGTAGTACAGATAAAATACAATCCAGTCACGTCTGTACTGACGCCACTACTTTGTACTATTCTACAGAACATGCACAACTCTGCTGTGGTGTGTAAGTGGGTGACTGGTAGAGCAGTGGTGATTTGCATTAAGGGAAATATACTGACCTGGTGGAGCAGGAGTACCTGAATTCTGATTGGGCGGAGAATTTCCCCTCTGATTCTGGTCTGGTTTACCCTGTTAGTGGAAGAGAACGTCACCTTTAAAGACCCTACCACCATGCAAAGTTTTCTCTAGTCAAAAGTCTAATATAGGTCATTAAACAGAGGTGTGTCGTTCTGCATCATTTGGGCTGATTTTCCTTCATGAGGATATTCTGGTCCATTGTGTTTATGGCTACTCACAGACTTGTTCTGCTGGTTTCCTTGGGATAGCAGCTCTGGGTTTGGTTCACTGAAGTTGGGCACTTCTGAATACACCATGCAGAACCTGTGGAAACAAAAGCCATGCGTCAACGTAACATTCAAACCTCAGAAACTGTGTCTGGTTGGGATGAAAGTACGACAGTCTGCAAATCTTCCCCAAAATAAGACACTGAAAGTTTATTCTCTACAGGAGGCTGCTCACTGGATTGTAACAGCACCAATATGCTGCTTATATTAAGGTTAAATAAATGCAATGCTGAAGATTCCTCTTCAATTATAACAAAGTGGTGTATTAATGTTCAACAACCATGTTTTAAAACCAACCAGATGTCCCCCCGCCCGTCTTGTTTGATGCTTTTTGAGAAGACCAGGATTCAAACAGGGAGAAAAACTTTCAGTAAAGGCAAGTATAAAATAAACCTTTGGCCTGCTACTCACTCTCCGATCTTCTGCAGATCCCCTCCTCTTCCAGTGTACAGAGTCAGGCAGCCTTTCCATATGGACGCGTAGCTAACACAGAAAAAGGGTTTGTTAAACTTCATGATAACACAAAGTTGGTCAGGTATAAAACCACACGTCAAATGAATACATGTGCATTGATTTGTCAGTAAAAGTATAAAAAAAACAACCAAACAAACTGAACCAATAGTGTTTGTGCAGTGCTCTTGGGAACAGTCCTACCCTCGGGTCAACTTGATGATGTCCCCTGGCTGAATAAGGCTGCCCAGCTCGTCCCACACAGAGATAGCGATGCTCCCGCTCTTGTCTGCCACCTTGCAGGAGCGAACCTCGTGTCCATCTTTTGTTTTGGTTACTCGTCCTAAAAAGAACAAAAGCAACTTCGGTATAAGTCGTTTAAAAAAATCACAATAACCCCTGTCGACGGTCAGTTTCGGACTGTGACATGTAACGTTGCCTTTAAGGAAAGGAGACACGAGTTGATGGTATGGGGTTACACGCTTTAACTTACTTACCTATTTCCAATACGATGAATACGATATTCAGATTTTTCGACCCGGGCTTCACATCCTTTATCAAGAACACGGCCTCGGTAGTCGGGGCTGCCATTGTTAGTCTCGCAGAAACAAAGAAATAAGACTGATCCTGTCACTTAAACTCAGCAGCAATAAGTGCTGGCTGTCGCTACTCTCTAGCGTTAGCTCAGCCGGATGCTAACTAAACACTATAACTTAAAACAAAAACAAAAAAAAACCCTTTAACGTTATCGTAACTGTTACTTAGACAGTCGACTACTTTCACGCCAAGCACCATTAACTGACACTTCAATTAAAAAAAAAAAGCTGAAAGATAATTGGCCTCTTCAACAGCAAACACACTAGCAGGGCTGCTGCTAGCTGGATAGCTTTGCTAAGCTCGTATTGATGCTAGTTGGCTCCCTTTCTTTTAATTCCAGGATATGAGTCTCTTCTGTGCATCTTTCTTTTCACGACTGTCGCCATTATGGCAGCTTCATTTCTTCACATAACGTTAAATTAACGTAGGAAGAGAACACTCTTAATGAAGCCAGTGGGCACTGAACGGTTTACGTTAGCACTGCGGTCGGCCACAATGTCGGAATCTGATAAAAAATAGTATGAATAGGCTGACAGGTTGAGAATCGCGAGTTAAATTGTTTAAAATGTTTAATGTTTTCCTCCCACTGGCTGTAAGTTACGCCGGAGCATGAGAGCAACTGTCTGTGTTGCGGACTGTTTGGAGGTAACGTTAAATAACGGTTATCTCCCTCGACCATACAGAACTGCAGTTAACGTTAATGTTATTTTTTGAAATCGACCGTTGGTGAGTCCTTTTTGAGTAGAAGGAACTGTTAGCGTTGCTAGCGCGCAGTCTGGCCAAATGCTTTGTTATAAGACTAGTGTGTCTGTATCTAAAGGTGGCCCCTATAGACGTTGCAGTTGTTCGAAAAACCTTGTGTTAATTGTCCTGGTTATTTATGCCTAAACAATACTAAAGCCCCCCCCCAAAAAAACGCTATTTAAAATCTGTACAAGCTGTTGACTACACGCTTTGCCCTTGCTTCAACAATGCCCCAAAAACTACGTCAGCTAGTACTGCCGGTCATTTTTATTTAACTCGGTCAGTTCCATTATTCTGTACAGGGGAGGGGTATACACGGAGAAATTTCTTTTTGTGTGTTGTTATACAGTCGAGTCGACAGATAACGACAATTATCAGGCGTTTATTTCTACACACAATGCAGTCACAACTGTAAGCAAACAACGTGCTGACCTGTTTACAGAAAATAAATAAAGTAGTTGGTTTGTACCAAATGAATTCCACCCACAAACAACGCGAGAATAAGACATATGTGAGAGTTCAGTGTCAACGATGAAACTAACGACGGTTGACTTCTTTTTTTTTAAGATTATGTCACATTATTTGTTCATTTTACGGCAAAACTAATTGTACTATTGTTATTTTAACACCAAATGTATGTAGTCACAGTAGTAGGAGCGCAATATTATTAATACATAATTATTAATAAGATAATAGTATGCCACAGCCGTATATTAATTATAAATCCGTTGAATTTGATTTGCTGTGTTCTTGTTTCGTAACTTAAAAAAAAGCAAAAATCGTCACGAACAGGATTCGAACCTGTGCGGGGAAACCCCATTGGATTTCGAGTCCAACGCCTTAACCTCTCGGCCACCGTGACTACGCATGTCAGTGTATAACTCTACTTATATATAGGTCAAATGAGGACTTCATATATGAGGACTTCACATGGAAAGTGTGTACACCTTTGTTATAAAAAAGGAGTGATTTCTATCAACTTATGTTGCCACACAATGACTTTATTTCATGTTGCCAAACCTAGCTAACGTTACCGTTAGCAAACATCGTGTTTTGATAATGTTTATTTAATTTGATCCTTTTTTTAAATTATGTACAAGAGAGGTAGGCGACATTTTTCCGTGTTTGTGAATAAAAACGGAACGAAATGTTTACTGTTTTAAATCCGAATGTGATGTGTGTATCTTTCTGCTCGCAGTTATTTTTGTTGTGGTATTGCTAATTGCTAAACTGTAATGTGGTTGTTTGTGTTGCATTACAGTCTCCATATTTTCGATTATATTATATTATATTTCGCTGACACAAGGTGGCTGCATGGTGACTTTTCTTAGACTGCTAGAATCTTCAAGCAAACGCTGTCTGTTTTACAGCAGCTTGTCAAGAGTAATGATGCATTCACACAAACTGGGAATAAGCGTAAATGCATAATACAATACAATAAAATAACAATTTAATGAAATTAAAAAATACAGTTAATCACATCTATCACACATGAACATATGTGTTACCACTAAATGCATGTATATTAATGTTACAATGGATGATCAGCACAAACAGGTCTATTGTAAAGTAAAGATTTGAGCCCACACGGTGCTTTGTCGCATGAGCTTTGAATGCAGCACAAACTACGTCGAACGGAAACTGCATTTCGATTGGCCCGTCACTGCAAGCCCCGCCTTCTCCAGAGTAGCATAATAGCCGTGTGGCTGTCACCGTGAACAAGACACTTCAACACAAAGGAAGCTAAAATGATCAACTGGAAGGTAAGTAAGCTCAAATGTATTCATTTAATATGTTGTTATGAGTTCAATGGCGTATTTGGTTCTTTTCGTATAGATGCTAGGTTGTCTCAACTCTCACTAGCATAATGCTAACGTAACCTACAGCTGAGCAGTTTAAGTGTCAAACTGCGAAAAACTTCTCATTTAGCAACATCGACGATTAAACAGTGTGTATACCCGCCATGCTGTCGTTCTCTTCCTTCGGTTGAGTCTGGTTTATAGCCGTGAATAGCCAGACATTATCATTTATTCAGACTGGCTAAACGGCACACTATTGCGACACTCGGCTTGGAAATGCGTACATAACTAGTTAGCAGTAACAGTTCAAAAAGTACTGAAGTAAATGCCACTTGATGGATGGGATGTGTACCGAATTAAAGAGTGTTCTGGGGTGACAAGGAAAATGTCTTTAAACGTATTCTGGGGTGTAAAATTCAGGTCACTATGAATCGCAATTTCAAAATTGACAGATTTTCTAAAGAGGTCTGGGCCTCTGTGGGTGACCTGTTACAACTACGTGGTTTGCAGCTGCTTCTCTCTCTCCCCCCCCACCCTCTCTCTCTGGTGACCAAATTAATCCCACTCCCATTTGACAGCTGAGATAAGAGGGTGTTGGGGGGGGGGGGGTTTACTGTTCCAGAGCTTTCTTTCATTCATATTGAGTGGCAAGTTTTAGTCTGGGAGAAGCTAGAAATCAGAGCAGCTCTGTTCTCCCACAGACACTTGCTTGGTCTCTGTAGTCTCTGTCTCCTCAAACATAAACTCTGTCTGTCTCAGGCTTGGACAACGTTCCCATCCTCCTCTACATCCTGGCCCTAAAGACACTGTGCTGTGTTGGCGTTCGCGGGGTTAAAGATTACCAGAGTAAGAAAAGTAGAGGCGGCCCTGAAGAAGAGCAGGCAGAGAAGAGGAGGTAGCCCAGCAGACCCAGGCGTTCTCGACAACTTGAAGGAAGACTGGAGCAGAGGAGAACACTGCTGCACACGGCTACTGCGCTACTGGAGGCTTCAACACTTAAAGTAATGAGCTGTTTTACAGGCGGTACTGATTCCTTCATTATACTCATTTACTGTCAGCTACTACTCTTTAAATCTCTGAACAGGTCTTCTTAAATCTTTACTCTCTTTATCACAGAGCAGGTTAAACCTCTGATTATATTAGACACAAAAATGGCTAAAACTGCCAACAAGTGACAGTTTTTTTGTTTATCATGTTTGTTCTGCGTCAGGTGAATCTGGATTTTTTTTTTTTTTTTCTTCAATATTTTGAAATTCAGTAGCATGTTATCAATGCGTCCCTGGGTGCTATCAGTCCAAAGTAGGTCATATCAATTTTATTTATGTATCCACAAAACCATTTTTGCATATAAAGCCTTGTGGATTTAGTGCTGTGTACAGTTTATGACATGCTCTATCCTTAGACCTTTTGATGGAAGGAAAAGCTTTCCCCAGAAAAAAAAAATTGGCCCATAGCCGATGACACAAACATCCACAAACATCCACAAACATGAGCGTCTCCGCATTGTTGCAGCTCAGTCTGTTTCTCTTCTAATCAAAGAAGTGAGACGCAGAGCTGTGCCGCTCTGTCCGCGCTGCTGCATGGAGCACAGTTTGTGCCAGTGCTCTAAAACAGAGTTATTATTTCTTTAATATCCACGTTGGAAATGACCAACACAACATTTAAGCAGAGTAAAATTGACACAACAGATAAACGTCGGCCACATAGGTTGGTGAAGGCCATCCTGTTTGCTGGTAAGCCGATGTCAGTCAAAAGGGTGAATATCAGCCGATACAGAACCTTTTTTTGATGGGGTTTTTGATCAAAATAATTGCAACATGATGCTTGTATCATACCATTCATCCCTTTGTGGATGTCAGTGAACACGATGGACAGCTGATAACCTTCAGGGCAGTTTAATTCACATCCCAACAATTGATAAAGCTACTCTGAGTCAAGACAATATCAACAGCTAGGGAGGCACATGCATCTTTTATTATTAACTAGACTATTTAACCATTTAGCACCCACTGCTGCACCCATTGGACACTAACACTTAGAACGCCCCCTCATAAAGATGCAACGTAAATCAGTTGTATTGACAGATTATTGATTATGTGATCCATCTGACTGACTTCCTTCTCTCCTCTCCTCTCCAGGGAAACATGGTACCTGAGCAACAAGCCACTCTCTCCAAACATGAGCCAGTCGCCAGACTGTCAGCCACAGGAGGACGTTCCTGTGCTTCAGGAAGTTGTTTGTAGTTCAAGTACCAGGACTGCTCACCACATCAGTTTTATATATTTATATCTTGTGTAACTGTTTGAACCAGGTTTTAAGATAAGATGAAATCACAGCAGGAACCACGTGGAGAGCTGAGTGACTGGTTTGTCTTATGAGCAGTGATGACCTCAGTGAAAGACCCACAGCAGGCTCAGCACCAGCTCTCCAAACATCTGCCTCGTTTTTAACTCACATCTGCACTTCAGCTCAGGCTGTCATCACTGAGTGCAACACTTGAGTAAACTTCACTTTGTGCACCGGAATAGTAGGAAGATCCAAGCTTGGCTCATGTCTATAAATACAGCATGCTATTCATTAATCATGTAATATTCCTTGTAAATTGTGACAATTTTTTTGTAATATTATATTGAATAGTTTGTTCCCCATGCTACAGTGTTTACTGTCTACTTTTGACCTAAATGCCACTCAAATGCAGTTTTTGCTACCGAAATGATAATCTGCCACACAATGTGAAGTGAATATTCCTAGACTGGAGGAAATATCCATGGGCAAGTACAATGTAAATTTCTAGCCAAATCATACCAGTCTATTTTATGTATTTATTTATTGGTGAATAATAAATATTCCATTTGGATTTTACAAGTGCTCAGTTCTTCAAGGCTCCGTGACCACTAAAGGGGCAGCGGTGCCCTCTGCTGTTTGAAAAAGCTTACAGCACCTGGTATTCCCAGGCGGTCTCCCATCCCAATACAGGACCCGGCTTAGCTTCTGAGATCAGATGAGATCTCTTGGGGAGGTATGGCCATAAGCAACAGCTGCAACTACAAACAGGCGTTTTATAGATGCTGGGACCTCACATAGTCTTATATGTTGACATGTGGTGACTTTAGATTGGAAACAAATCATCTTACTTTAAAGGTCCAGTGTGTAACCTTTAGTAGGATCTATTGGCAGACATGGAATATAATATTCATAAATATGTTTTCATGAGTATACAATCATCTGAAAATAATAATTGTTTTTTTGTTACTATAGAATGAGCCATTTTTACCCACTTCTATGGAGGCTGCCAGGAAGGGCTAAACCAAACACTTGCTTTAGATTTTTTACCTTCACACTTGAAAGGGGAGGGTGAAGAAGGGAGTTGCAATCTGCAACTACACTGCTAGAAGCCACTAAATCCTACACACCGGTCTTTTTAATAAAAGAACAAGC